AAATAAATAAATAAATAAATAATTTTATTGAGAAACAAATAGCAATGAGACAGTTTCAAAACCAATTACTAGCACATTTTCAATAATTAATACATTGCATATTGTTGTCTTAGTGGTTATTCATTGTACAAGATGCAGACATGATATCCTGTCCACAAACACTATTAGAACAAATCTGTCTAGTCATTGAATTAAGAGAATGCAGCTGTATAACTATCCTATTTTGAGTATACAGATACAAAATAGTCGTTCATTGTATCCCCAAAATTGTGTCCCCCTTTCCTGGTTAGTTTTGTCAGAGAAGGGCATTCTATTGTCATTTAAATATTGTAGGTGTGTGAATTCAGCAAAATATTCCAATATAGTCTAGTAGTCCATTAGTAGTGGGTTTTCTGTAAGACTGGCAATGTCTGAAGTTGTTGACTTGAGCCTTTTACAGCTCATCATATTAATATGGCTTTACTTTTTATACCTCGTTTTTATCCTTTTCTGAGGGATGGTTAAGACCAGGATAAAGCAAGACCTATAATAAGAAATGTAATTTTTTCTATCTGATAAGATTAGTCAAGTACCCTCAGGATTTACTTTGAAACCCTGTACCGCAGTTTGTAGATCCTTTGTCAGTGTCAGCCATGTGGATGAGTCACGGCCAGTGCTTGACCAATTTGCTCTCTGTGAAAGCCTGAGAGAATGTTTTCTCTCCATGTGACTCTCCTTAGGCACACTCTACATCATCTATCACTTTCTTCTGTGGCCCCATAATTTCCATGATCAGAAAATTTGGGACAAAACTGAGTTACAATACATACAGTACAGATTCTCCTATGTCCTGAGTCTTCAGTGACCTTGAAAGGCTAGGGCCAAAATGTTGACTGTCCTTGCAGCCCTTCTTTTTCTCTAATTTTTGGTCTGCAAACTTAGGTTGTTAACCCTCCAGAAGAGAACACGTATTTTTTATCTTAGCCCCTTGGGAGGCTAAAACTGGAGGATTGCAAAGTCAAGGCCACCTTTCACAACTTACCGAGACCCTGTCCCAAAATAAAATTGAAAGTTCTTGGGATGTAATTAGCACTAGCACTTGTACCTAGCTTTGTGAGTCGCTGGAGTTCAATTCCTAGTACCACAAAATTTAAAAAAAGTGTTTTCAGTGTATTTCTCAGAACTGTGCAGCCTAGCTACAACCTAACCTTGGAACAGAAGGAAACCCCACACTCACTGTCAGTACTACCACCACCCCACCTCCCACACCTTGGTCTAGCAGACTGCAGTGTCTGTCTACTTTCTGGTTCTGTGAATTTGCCTGTCCTGGGCCTTTCATTTAGGTAGAATCATACACTCTGTGGCTTTCCTTGATTGGCATCATTGACTTGGCATAATGCTTTCAACATTCATCCATGATGTAGCATTTATCGGAATTTTATTCCTTGTATGACAGAAAAATATTTCATTGTACAGATATGCCACATTTTGTTTATTCTTTTATTAGCTGGTGGACTTCTAGGTTGTTTCCACTCTTTTAACTCTTAGTAAAGAACTGGTCCCCATGTAGAGGAATAGAGCTACTGGGAATAACCACAGACAAGTTGTTGATTTTTATTTTCTCTATTAATTGTATTTCCAGTTTCTTTGATTTGTGCTATAACTTTGTTGTTGCTTTTATTCTCCATACTTGATTTAAATTTACTCTTTTCCTTGTTTCCTAAAATGAAAACTTAGATTATTTATTTTAGATCATTAAATGCATCTCTAACATATGCATTTAATGCTGTAAATTTTTACCAAGTACTATGCTTTTGCTGCATACTCTACAATTTTTGATAGACTTACTTTCATTTGGTTCAAAATATTTTTTCTCTTGAAAAGTCTTAAGTTATTTGATCTCCAAATATTTTGGGGCTTTCCAGCTATCTTTCTATTATTGATTTCTAGTTTTAATTTCTTTGTGGTCTAAGAACATACTTTCAAATTTGTTAAGAATCTGTTCCATGCCCCCGGATGTGGTCTTTGTTGGTGAATGTTCTGTGTGACTTGAGGAAGATGTGCACTCTGCCCCGGCTCCATGGCTCATGCCGATAATTCAAGTGTGGAGGCTAAGACAGGATGTTCATAGCTTGAGGCCAGTCTGGGCTATGCAGTCGTGTAGTAAGAAAATATATTTCTTATTATAAAGAAATAATAAGGAGAATGTACATTCTGCTGTTGAGGAACAGAGAATTTAATAATGTCTATTAAATCTTATTGGTCGATGGTGCTGTCAGCTCAACTCTACCCTTACAGGTTTCTGCCTGCCTGCTGGATATGTCAGTTACTGATAGAGGGTACTAAAGCTCCTACCACATATTGGATTTATCTCTTCATGCTCCATCCATTTGCCTCATGTGTTTGGATGCCCTGTGGCTAAGCACATGCACATTAAGGGTAACTGTTTTCACAGTGACTTGAACTCAGTGGTTGTTCAGTTTTTGTTTTTGCAGTACTAGACTAGGAAATATAAAAGGGTTTGTCTTTTTTTCGGTTGGTTGATTGGCTTGGGACTTGATTGGTTTTTGTTTTGTTTTGTTTTTATTTGAGACAGGGTCTCACTATGCAGTTTGGGCTGGCCCTGTGCTCACTCTTGTAGCCCCCAGGCTGGTCTACAAACTCACAGTGATCCTACTATCTCAATCTCCCGAGTGCTGGGATAACAGATACATGCTACCAGCCCTGGTTCTGGCAGCATGGCATGCCATATCAGTGATCAAACCCAGGTCCTTCTGCTTGCCAGGCAGGCACTTAGACGGATAAGCTATCTCCCTGGTCCCTGTTGTTGTTGTTGTTGTTGTTGTTTTCTAAGAGATGTATCTGGATGTGTTGCCCTGGCTGGCCTTGAACTCCTGGGCTGAAGTGATCTTCTTGCCTCAGCCTCCCCCGATCACAGGCACATGTATGCCACCATGCCCCTGAAATACCTAGTATTTCATTTTGCATTCATGTGTTCTTTCCATAATGCTCTTGTTTTTTAGGTAACTTCAAGGTTTTTTCTCTCCTCTTGCCATTTTTATATAGCACTCCCTCCTAGGCGTCCAGCTTGCTCTGAAGCTGCCCTGCAGGTCTATGGGTGGATATATGATGTGTATAAACAGGCTGTCCTCACAGAGAAGGACTCAGTGCTGCAGGAGCCTCCAATAAGAAGCAGCTGACTGAGCATAAAGGAAAAGCAAAGCCCCTACTACAAAGGAGCCTTGATTGGTAAAAGCCTGCCTGGAATGCAGCCCTGCGGGTGACTGACTCCAGCTAGGTGTCCTACTACACTGGCCTGAGGGGGAAATCCACTGGAGAAGCTGAAGTCCACATTGCTCCATGGCAATGACAAGGGTCTCCCAGCCTCGCATCCTTGCCCGTTTGCCCTCTCTGTGCCCAGCACAGCTCCATCAGGGCTCCTTTACTCCTGCAGAAAGTGAGGACTGGGGATGGGCCACCTCCCAGAGTCAGCTGGGCAGGAGCATCTCTCACTGCTGAATGATGAGCATGCTCTCTGCTCTCAGAGCTGGACTCAGCAGGCCCTGAACCCCCTGAGGACAGAGCAGGTGTGTGCAGCACCCTAGGAGAGGGCTTCTGTGAGAGGAGGACATTCACTCCTGGCCAGGGACAGCTGCCTTGTCATCTGCACTGTACCTGTCTGTTCCCGGTGTGTGCCTGTCTCTTTCTGGGTTGCTTTCTAGGGTGCTTTGCTGTGCTGCTTTTTCTTTCCCTCACCTGTGGCTGGGCACCTGCGCTCTGCTGAGGAAGCAGGTACCCATGCACACATGTGACACTTGTCTCTGGGAAGGAGGGGCCTGGTGCTGCCACCAGCCACCTTTCAGCCTCTAGACAGAAGAAAATAAGTCTGTGAGCCCATTTCTCTCATCAGCAAACTGAGGGGACAGGGCTTATCCTAAGAGATTGCTGTGTGTAAGACAGGCGGGAAGGTTTTAGAGGCAGTTTGGCAGGCAGGCCAGTTAGGGTGGGGTCACCTGGCAAAACTGTTACTGTTTTTCTTTCTGATATTCATCTAAGGGAATGTTCTCAGCAGTAACTGATTAATACTGTACTTCCCAACCATCCGATGAAATTCATTTAAGTTTGCCCTGAATGATTTCCACTGGTTTGTAGACTTGTCTTACTCTCTAATTCAAAAAAATTACTTAATTGCATATAAATGTAAAAGCTCTTAACACCCACAAATATCCAGGGTGAAAAGCAACTTCGATTAGTATCAGCTTATTTTTGTTAATGTATTTAGCAATTGTTTCTAAGCTCTGCGGTGAACCAGCCTGGTGTTTGTGACCAGCCTGGGCAGGTCACCGAGCTGTTTGGGGACACAACTGCTCGGTTCTCCCTTTGCGTCTCCTCCTGCATCCCCTGTTACTGAATTAGCCAACACCTTTTTCTGGGTGCATTATAAGACTTTACTGCCTTATCCCTTTGACTCTCACTTTTGATTAGTTTTGTAAGGACAGTGTCATTATCTCAGGCAGCTTTTTCAAAATCAAGACCTATTATTCTAAATGTTTTGCAGTCATTCAAGTCTGCATTGCATGAATGAACTGTAATAAGCCAAGCCTTCTAGTTTTTATAATTCTTTTTTATCCTCTACAGAAACATTTTTTCTTATTATTTATTCTAATAGGGAATAAACACTTTGTTTCAAGAATGGGAACACAGCTTGATGTAGTGACACATGCCTGTAATCCAGGACTCTGGGAGACCAAGGTGGAAGGATCAAGGATGTGAATCCCAGCTGGGGAAATTAGAGAAAGTCCCTGAGTATAATGCTGAGGATCACCAAGAAGGAAGGAAGGAAGGAAGGAAGGAAGGAAGGAAGGAAGGAAGAAAAGGAAGGAAGGAAGGAAGGAAGGAAGGAAGGAAGGAAGGAAGGAAGGAAGGAAGGAGAGACAGACAGACACAGAGAGAATGAGATAGAGAGATCGAGAGAGAGAGCAGATCAGGTCAGATCCCTGATGTCTATTCCACTTACTTAAGCTGCAAACTGCTCACACTGATCATGAAGGGATAAGAATGTCTTAAAACTTCAGGAATAATGTATCTCCCCCACACCAAGGTAATGTAGTTGTTAGCTGTCTGAGGCATTCTGAATGTGGAATGAAAATCTGCATAGACTATTGTCAGAAATCTCATTGATGATGTTTTCTACAGTACTGGAGATCATATCCATGGGTAGTCTACCACTGAGCTACATCTCTCCCTCTTTTATATTTTTTATTTTTGAGATGGCCTTACTGAGTGGCCCAGGCTGGCCTCAAACTTCCCATCCTTCAGCCTTCCCAGTTGCTGAATTTATAGGCATACGCAACCACACTCAGTTTAAATTTTCAAATAAATGCTTACATGTGGGACGATGTTATAGCAAATAATTGGTATACTCCAGAATTTATTACAGGTATAAAAAATAAAGAATAAGAAATATGCAACTTTTTAATATTTTGATTCTCAATTTATTAAATTTGTATTCTTTTAAAAGAAAACTGAACTCTTGGTTTTTATTTATCTAAATTTCCATTCCATCATTCTTCCTTCAGTAAGATTCACTACCTTAAAAATAAAAATCCAGGGCTGGAGAGAAACCTCAGTGGTCTAAGTGCCTGCCTGGGAAGCTCAAGGATCCAGGTTTAGTCCCTGGTACCACATGCCAAGCTGGTCCTGCACTGAATCCAGCACTGGGGAGGCTGAGACAGGAGGATCACTGAGTTTGAACTGCGTAGCATGACTCTGTACCAAATAAATAAATAAATCTTTGTTAAAAAAAATAAAGAAAAATCCAAGCTGGAAATGGTGGGTTTTGCCTATAATCTCCTGCATTTGGAAGACTGAAGTAGGAGAATTTCCAGTCTGAGACCAGCCTGGTCTATGCAGCAAAACTTTGTCTCATTAAAAAAAAAAAATCTTTGGCTAGCTGGTGATGGTGTAGACAAATTATAAAACTTTTTCATTATCATGATTTCATATGTGCAATAAATGGAAATTTAGATAAACATTTAGATAATAGTCCCAAGTGAGGAAACAGATTCTAAAGTCCCTTATGTCATATGAGCGCTCAAGCAGGAGCTTCTCTGAGGTCTGACTTTCCTCTCCCTCCACCCTAGGCACTGTGGTCAGCATGGATGAGAGTACTGAATTTTCTTGGCCTGTGTGTGACCAGTGTGGCAACAGGCAATTGGAGCAAAGGCTGGAAGACAGGTAAGGCTGGCCTGAAGCCCCAGGGCTCTGACAGGGGAATAGCAACCCAGCACCAGGGCCCCACAGCCTTCCGTCTCTGATGGCTTCCCCAAGAGCCAGCCCCAGCTGAACTGCGGGAAGGAGCTCATGGGGCTGATGGGTCTTCTAATAGGGAGTTCTTCTGGGTTTGTAGCTCCTCCTGGGCCTTTGCCCTCAGCTTCTTTATTGTCAGGACAGTTTAAAAAAAGGAGGCCATGTGAATAAGTGAGACCCAGAGGTGCCTGTGCAGCATGTCCTTTGTGGTAGTGCAGACTTGTCCAGAGATCAGTGAGCAGCTTCTGACCAGCTGCCCTTGCCTCCCAGCCTTTCTGCCGGCACCTTCTCCCGCAATCACAGTTGGGTGTCCGCGCACTCTGTTCCTTTGGAGTTGGCTCCCTGGCTTCCGGACGGACTTTATCTTGTGACAGGAAGAAAGAGCATGCTCATTGTTTGCCTGCTTCTTTTTAATTTCTTCCTTTTTTTTTTTTTTTTCTCCCTGTACTGAGAATTGAACAAGGGCCTTTAAACTAAGCTACCTCCAGGCCCAGCCTTTTTTATTTTTTTGTTTAGAGACAAGATCCTACTAACTCACTAAGCTGCCCATGTGAGGCTCAAACTTGTAATCTTCCCACCTCAGCCTTCTGATGTGCTGGGGTTCCAGGTGTGTACCACCATAGCCAGCTAACTTCTTCAGAAGGGAAGAACAAATGTCCTCATGAAACCTTTGGGTTAACAGCCTTGTGTACACTCAAGTCATCATTAAATCATGTAGGGAGCTCAAGGTGTGTGGGTGCAGTGGAAGCAGCAGGGACCAAAGACCTGGTGGCCAAGCTTTCCCCAGCCTCCCATAGGGCCTTGCTTCACCTCTTAAGAGGCTGCTCCACCTCACACGGTAACAACGCATACCTCTCTGACTGCCCAGGGTCCGCAGAACAGCCACATTCCTCCTTCTCCCTCTGGACAGGCTAGCCCTTGGCTGGGCTCAGGAATTTGGTTCAGAACAAGACCTTCCTTTCTCACTGGCACATGTGTGCGTAGAGAAGTGTCTGCCTGCCAGAGCTCCTCTGATGCATGCTCCCCAATGCTTCCCTTCCCCTGCATCTCCACACACCAGAGGCACCTTTTCCTGTGGAGACTGTTCCCGGGTGGTCACAGCTCCTACTCTCAAGAGGCACCTGCAGATCTTTCTGAACTGCCCTGCAAGGCCCCAGTGCAGTGTGAAGGTCAAGGTAGGAGCCAGGGCACGTGTGTGGGCATCCTGGGTGGGACTTAGGTGGGTAGGAGCTCCCAGCAACACTTCTGGGAAGCGGGGAGGCCCCATATGAACACACTGCCCATTTATTTAAAACTCTAAGATGACACAGGAAGTTTGGATTGTGAACTTTCAGGCCAGGAGTTACTTTTGCAGGAGCACTTGCTGCACTGCTGAGGTCTGACCCAGCCCCATTTCCCTGCTGTTGCAGCTGCTGCAGAGCAGTATTTCTTCACTGCTGAGGTTTGCCGCCTGCAAGGATGGGGTAAGTCTGGGGCCTGGCCAGGTGTGCATCTCCTCGTGACCCTGAAGTAGCCCCCTCTGCCATGTATGTTCAGTTACAGCAAAGCTTGCCATAAAGTGCTGTGAAACCAGGATACAAATGCCCACTGAGGTTGGCCAGAGCCTTTCTTCAGTAAGAAACTTAAAGTAGACACAGGAAAATGTTCCTGCGGCCTTGCTTATGGTAACAGCCTGGAGGCTGGGACCCCACGACCATAGTTTCACAGTCATGAAACAGAATTGCCTGAGTTACATTTCAGTTTTTTGTTCCTGGATAGTCTAGACCCTAACTGATTACAGACACTGCTACAGTTCCTCACAACTCTGCCTGCCTCAGGAATTACTGTAGTAAGACTTGGTAAAGCTGGTGTGCTCCTCTGAGAAAATAGTCACTGAACCTATTTAATTTTGGGCCAAGGTCAGTTTTTGCCTTGTGAATGCCTTCATAAATGGGACCTCATTCTTTAACATGCCACCTATCTTTTCAGAGCCAATTAAAAGCATTATGGGTGACTTGAATTACTAAGTTACTAAACCCGGAGAAGGGCACCAGGAACCCAGGTGCTAGGGTTGGGGGTAGTGGGGCAGGTGCCAGGTTGAGAGGTGTCTGTAACAGGGTCCACATCTAGGAGCTGATCTGGGCCAGCCTCCTGGGATGTAGGCACAGAGAAAGCTGATCGTCCCTCAGACAACTGTAGCCCATTAAGCAGAATCCTCCAAATGGTCCTCATGGCCATGTGTAAGCTCTCATTCTACCCAGAACATAGGCTAACTTCGTCCACTGCCTGCGGCTCCTCTCCAGGCCTGCCCTGTCCTGTCCCCTGCAGCCCTGCGTTCAGTGGGACAGCAGCCCTGCCCCACCAAACAGCAGCTGCCCTCTTTCACATAGGCCATGGCTATCAGTTTGGATTAAATTGGAATGCAGATAAATCATGTTCAGAATCTTTGAGCATCACTGGCCTAAGCCACAGTTCTCAGCCCCTGCTTCCACAGCAGCAGGATTTGCAGAGCTTTGAAGAGAGTTTCTGTCCCCTGTAAGGTTAAGCCCACCAGTTTCATAGCCCTCGATGACACTGTGCTCCAGTTCGAACCCTTTGTCTGAGCTGCCTGCCACCACTGCACAAGTAGGTATGGAGGCAGACCAGCCTGGAGGAGGGTGCATTTGCAAGTGTTTCCTGATTGTGCAAAAGTTAGCAATCGGCATGAGCTGAGCGCCTAGCTCACCACCCTCTCACATATGTCCCTGTTCAGGCCCCCCGCCATTCCGGGGGCAAGATCCACCTTCTGCTGTCAGGTAACAGAAGGCTCACCCCAGGGAGAGCTCACGAAGGCAGAGTCATTGTGAGCTCCACAGAAGCGACCAGCTGGCAAGTTGGGCTGCTCACATGGAGACCCACGATGGGGATTTAAGGAATCCTCCATGCTGAGTAGGTGATGAGACAGCCATGCCTGTTGGCTGACTCCTTGTCTCCTGCTTTTTGGCCACCCAAGGTTGAGAAGTTGGAGGTTTCTAAGGTCGGTGTTGGTTTCTAAGGGGTTGGGCAAATGCTACAGATGGGAGATCAGGGATTTCAGGGAACAGATCCCTGGAGAATGTTAAGGAAAAGCTGTAGAAACACTTGCTTACGAACTCATAATGAACCCAAATCTAACACCTAATCTGGACATGGTAACACATTCCTGTAATCCAAGCATTTAGGAGGCTGAGGCAGGAGAATCACTATGAGTTTGAGGCCATCCTGGATTCCATAGTGAGCCTAAGGCCAGTCTGAACTACAGAAATGAGATTCTATCTCAGAAAAACCAAAAAAATAAAATAAACCCCACACCTAAACAAACTAAAACCAAGGACCCTTGGTGTGGCACACAGCTCACACACTGACCTGGCTGCATGGTGTCTGGGTGAGAGCTGGGCACTGCAGGCTGGTGCTCTGTGGGCCCCTTCAGGCTCCCAGGAAGGCAGTCTGGGGCTTCCTCCAGGAAGCCTGCAGTGACAGTGCTATGTGTTGCCTGCTTATCCCAACCCTCATCTAGAGAGCTGGAGACCAGGAAACCCTAACAGAGGTCCTCCCACCTCCCTGTGATTTCACACTGGCTGAGATGCCGTGTTCCTCTCACACTTGTAATTTCTCAACTAGAATGTTACCATAGGTAAAGCCCTGCTCGTGAGGCACTCAGGAGGAAGTGTATTGTATGAATGTGTGTGCACATGTGTGCATGTGAATGGTGTACATGCGTGCACGTACTTGTGCATGTGCTGTGTGAAGGGGCATAGGGTACCATAGCCCCGGGGTGCTTTGGGCTGAGAGCCCACCCTCATGCACCGAGCCACGCTCCAAACCTAGAGGACAGTGCTCGGGAGGCTTCTTTCCTCCCCAGCTGTGCTTGCCACGGCTACTCAGGCCTCTGCATCTGGCTTGGAAGAGAGCTGGGAGAAGGTGGCTATCAAAATGCTTGTGCCCAGATGTGAAGAGCAGTATACCCATCTGGCTTATGTGAGTTTTGGGGTGAAAGTGCACATTTACCAAAATACAAAAGAATCAAATTCAGACTTTCTGCAAGAACCAGTCCCTGGAGCAAACACTGTTTCCAGTTGGGATCTGTGAGCATTGAGTTTGATCTTGTCCCTATTGTGTGGTGAGGTCAAGCTGCATATGTAAAAATAAAGAGCTGTCATTCATATTTCTCAGTGTAACATTATAGCAATGAATTTAGAGTCTTTCTTTCTTTCTTTCTTTCTTTCTTTCTTTCTTTCTTTCTTTCTTTCTTTAATTTTGCGGAACTGGGCATTGAACTCAGGCCATTGCACTCACCAGGCAAGCACTTACTCTACTGAGCTATCTCCCTGGCCCTGAATTTAGAGTTTATTCCCTTTCAGGACAAAAAAATTAAGGGCTATGCATATTGTACACATTTCATGCATGATCCACGTTCATGCAAACAGTGCGTGTGAATTGGCTGGCACCGTTGTTGTAACCTCATCTTAATTCTCCCCAAATATGAAAGATGTGTAATTTGAACTCCATGTATAGGCGATGGAGCCAAACCTAACACTAAGTAGATTTTTTCCCCCTAATACTGGAAATTGAAACTAGAATCTCTTCACTGGGTTATGTCTCCAGCCCATGCATTTTTAAATGTTGAAACAAGGTCTCATCAAGTTGTACAGGATGGGTTTGAACTTGTAATCCTCCAGCCTCAGCCTCCTGCCTCAGGCTCACACAACATATCAAGCCAGCTAAAAGAGTAATTACCCAGCTTTCCAGTTTCCTCCCAGCAATGAATGGTGACCCCTCCTTGTATGGAATGGTACCCTCCCTCTCGACCTGCAGCCTCAAGGCTGTCCTGTTCACTGCCAGCTCTGTAATGTCAAGCTCATAGTAAACCCATAATGAGGAGATGAATGAGTGGCCTTGGACCACCCATCCTGGCGACATGGAGCATGAAGGAAGGCTCTCTGCTCCAACTTCTCTTCTGTCTTGAACAGCAAGTGTGACCTTCATCTTCCCCATTAAACAACAGGGTTTTTGAGTTGTTTTTTTTAGAAAACCAAAGAAGCCAGAAATCCTTTCAAATAGCAGTAAGTAGGCTAAGTATTTCAGACCTTGCCTGAAGAACAGGTAGGGAGATGAAACAATGTAACAGGCGAGAAAGTGAGTTGGCCTCAGAGTCACGTTCACATCCCAGACTGATCCCTGGTATTTATTGCTACAAAACAAATCATCGCAAAACTTAGTGGTTTCAATATTGTGTACACAGACTTGCAGTTTGGGCAGGGCTCTAGCAGGACAGGCCATCTGGGCTCCACTGGATATCAGGTGGTGCCCCTGGGAGGGCTGGGCTCACAGACACTAGTCCCCAGCCAAGGCTGAGCCCACATCTGAGTGCTGAGAGCCACGAAGAACCCTGGCACCTTTCCTGACCAAGCTTTGGACATTGAGTCTCTTATGCTGAATCTTGTCCTGCGTGAGTTAATCATGGAGGGCAGTGAGACCCCAGTTGATGAGAAGGGCACAGCACATCTCCTGGCTTCTTCAGCTTCCATGTCTGTGAGCATGGCACACTAATGGCAGAAGGGTGAGCACTAGTATGTACTGTGTGGACTGTTGTGGAGATTCTCAGGTGTCTCCACACCTAGAACTTCCAGCTCCCAGGAGCCCAGGGCTGTTATCTCCAGGTTTGTGCACTTTCAGCCACTGCCCTCCAACACAAACGCTCTGCAGTTTGATGCACAGAGGCCAAATCAGAGTACAACCTTGGTGGGGATGGGAACCCTTCACCCCATGAAGTACCTGTGTTCTCATCCAGAGATAGAACTGCCCATGGTGAAGCAAAGCTTAGTCTTATTACTACAACACAAAAAGCAGCATTTAGCCCAGTCGGATTCGAGAACAAATGGGATCCTACTGAAGAGGGAAGTTTGGGGCAAAGTACCAGGAAATCCTCTGACCGGAAGCATTGCTAGATTGGAGAAGTGTCCTGAAGGAAGTGGGAGACAGCTGAGAGCCACATACCCCGCCCAGCCTGCGCCTGTCTTGTCCCCAGGGCCGTTCCTAGGTCAGCTCTTCATGGCATCCACTAAAACATTGATATTTTACATAATACTTACATGAAAATAACTTAGTTATCAAAATATAGGATTTCATTTTCCCTAGGAAAGGGGAATTTTCTAGGCAGCACTTTATCCCTCCCGCTTCCTCCCCCCCAAAAAAACCCTCACCATTTGAACAGGGAAGGTCAGAGTCCAGGAAAGGGCCTCTGCTCTGGCCTGTCCCGTTCTGTTGCAGGGAACAGAATGTCCAGGGCTAACTTTATTTGCTTTAACCAGCATGCCTTTATCGCTACAGAGTTATGATGTGAAGAGCGTCCTCGGAAAGGAGGTGGGGTTGTTCGGTTGTTTTGTCCAGTCCATAACCACCCACCCAACTGGCTCTGTCGCGTTGGAGGAAATTGAGCTTCTGGGCGCAGGAGCTCAGGAGGAACGCCCGCCCTGGCCCGTGGACCTGTGAACTTTGTAAGGGTGACAGTGGGGCCTGTCGGGGTAGTTATTTGTTAACTATGGACAGAGCAAGTAGAGTTTACGATCTTAAAATAAAAGTTTAACTGTTCTGGGGCAAATTTAAGATGGTTTTGTGAATTCTAAATTAAAATATCTTTCCTATTTTTTTTCATTACCTTTTTATAAGATTCACAAGATAGGAAACATCTTTGTAAAGGTCAACTCGGCCTGGGTCTTTATCTTATATTTGTTTTAGGCCTTAATATCAATCTGAAAGAATTACATTGTACAGTTGTAGATTTAAAGTTTTTTTTTTTTTTTTTTTAACATGATTCATCTTTTCCTTGCAGTATTTTAACCCCTCACCCCAAGAATACTCTGGAAAACTTAAAGTCTTATATCCCACATTGTGCTCAATACATGTGTAAGCTAAGCATTTTGCATTTCAGTATTTTGGGGAAATGTTCTGGAGAACTATGGCAGAGGTCAAGCTGCCATAAAGTGTAACCAGTGTGACAGGGCTATAATACAGAGATAAAGTAGCTTGGTCTACCACATGCCTGGCCTGTCGGATGGCCCCAGATAGTGCGTACAGAACAAAGGCTACCCCGACTCAGAGCAGTCAGTTATCATTTACGTTGCTGGCAGAGATTTCAGTTATAAATCAATTATCTTTGAACACCAAATATTTTGTTTTCTTCCTTATAGCAACATAATGACAACCGTGGTTAATTAATTGCATAATACACCCTTAGATACGAAGACTAAGAAAGGTGCCCATTACCAGTTTTCTTAAGGAAAATGCAGATGGCTTTTTTGGATTAAGCCAAGAAACACTACCGCTAGCAATATAGCAGGTTTCAAGTGGCTTTGAGGCGTGTATTTGACAGTTCTGTCCTTATATTTGGAAAACCACTCCCTGTTGTTTAAGAAGCAGAAAAGTGAAAGCAAAATCCCAAGAAAGCCCGACGTAATTAAGACAGGACTCTGGGTCACTTGAGCCATCTTCTACCCTGTACCCCTCAGCTGCCATCTAAAGATAAGGAACTTTGGGGTGTTCTCAGCAGGGCCCCCAACCCACCAGCCACTAGCATGCTCTGGGGCACACCTTCAGCAGGAATGTTGCTGGGGTAACTAAGTGAGCCCAGGCGGGCCTTGCCGCCTGGCCCAAGCCTACAGATGCGGAGGGGGCCCCTGGCACGCTCCCCAGCAAGCAAGCAGACCTTTGCGTCCTGAAGCCGGCTCCCGCAGGCGCACACCGGGTCCTAGAGCGCGCCTTCCCTGCGGGGTCCTTGCATGCCGGGTGCAAGGATCGTTGTGAATACAGGAAGCAGGAGCGAGTTTAAATGCTTTATTCTTACAAATACTGTAAAAATTAATATAAAAACATGAGCATGCTCAGTCTCTTAAAAACCTTTTATCTGCAATACAAAGTTTGTTTGGAAAGTCTTTTTTTCTTTTTACAAATGTACCTTAGCTGCATCAACAGGAGTAAAATGTAGAAAAAGCTACCATTATAAAAATAATTTAAGGGAAAATAAACACGTATAGCTTCTCTCGCGGTTCAGAGGCGGTAAGTCCAGGTGTAGCTTCCTTTCTCTCACTTGTCCCAAAGAACTTGGAGCCGGCGCCGGCGGCTCTCACGTTCCGGGCCGTCGGGGCTGAGGTATCGGTCGTTGGTGGGAGAGTCTCCCGGCGCGGGCCGCGCGTTACCGGCAGTCAGTGGCGCCGGCAGAGGGCACGAAGGGCGGGCTGGGCAACTGTTTGAAGAACTGCCGGAGGCCGGCCAGGTCCCTCGTGAGCTGCTCCACGCGCTGGTGCAGCTTCTCGTTCTCGGCCGACAGCTCCACCAGCTTCTGCTGCATCTCCTGGTTGCGCCGCTTGGCCTTGTCGCGACTCTTGCGCACGGCTATGTTATTGCGTTCGCGCCGCTGCCGGTACTCGGGGCTGCCGCGGTCTGGGCCCCTCTTGCCGGAGCACTTCTCTCGCGCAGGGCCGGGCGCGGGGCTTGGCCCCGGGCTGCTGCGCGGTGGCTCCGGAGACGTGGGCGGTGTGGGTTGGGCAGCAGCCGCCAGGCTCACCACCGTCTGCGCACACGCGGCCACCTGCGCGGGCAGCAGCGAGCCGGGTGCGTCACCGTCGCCCCAGTCCGGCTCCCGCTTGAGCTGTCGCGGGACGGCGGGGCCGGGGTGTCGCGCGGGGCCGCCGGGTAGCAGCTCCAGGCCGCCTGCGCCGCCCGCGCCGCTTGCCTTGTGGTTGCTGTTGAAGAGGTCGGCGAAGAGTTCGTCGTGGCACAGCTCCAGGGTGGGCACGGCGGCGATGGAGTCGATGTACGCGCTGAAATCGATGGCGCTCTCGTCGTCGTACATGGCAGGGGCGGGGGCGCCCGGCTCCCCCAGGCCTCCCGGCTCGGCTCCCCGGGCCGGCTTGCCCGCCCGGCCCAGCTCGTAGAAAGCC